GAACCTGTGCATGGTTGTGTTCCATATAGAAAACACATGCAAGAGAGTGACTGTGGGCACTTGTGCATATTTGTGCTCTAAAACCAAAGGAGGGTTCTCATTCTTTGCATTCCAAATTGAGACATCTCTTTAGCCTGAACAAGATGCTGAGCAAACTATTTTACTCATTGTTCCTATTAAGTGTTGAGGATTGTACTTATACCAAGCACTTGCCAAGGGTGTACGGATTAGTACATCATAATTAAGTAGAAAGGTGTGACCTCCAAACAGTCTATGGCCAGTTAAATCACTTCTTGTCTTGTTGCTGCTCATTTGATGTCAAGACTTGACTCTGACATTGAGGGACTCAACCTATCCCCCAAAAGATGCCATGATGATGTATATGCAGGGGCAGATGAACAAGATGTATTCTTAAAACAGTATTTTCTGTTGTAAAAATGTAAATATATCATGGAACTTGCATTGCAGCATGTGCGAAGCACATTGTAAAGTTTTTGTGTGTGTTTATAGATGACCACTATGTTCTGGATCGTGTTAAAGGGAGTGTCTCAAAATTTGGGAATGTTGATGGTCCACTGGAATGATCCTGTTCAGAACACTGGCATTTCTTTGAAATGTGCTGTGTTCTGGATAATAGCAGTTGGGCATACGTTTGCCTACTTTAATGTAGTGGAATGGATAAACCCCCATGTACATGTAGCACAAAGCACAGATATATACATTCAGCCTCATCACAATGTTTCAAATAAGTTTTGTTGACTTTTGGACAGGTGTTACATCACAAATGGTATGTTACTTTTATACTAAAAGCCTTTTTTCACAGCTGTAAAAATAGAACTCTGTGGAATTCATAAAATCAGTCAAATGAGTTTGTTGTAGGTGATGGAATTTTAGCAACAGGAATGCTGTTGTGTTGTGGGTTGTCTAGTCATTGTTTTTCCCCCAGAACCCTCAATATTTCTATCCTCATATCCATAACAATTTGCTGAACAAGGTACTGATTTAGTGTTACAGATTTCAGGTCTTAGATGGTTCTCGGACAAGGACCTGTAAGTGGTGATTAACAGACAACATTGTCTCTGAAATCTCACAACTTACATTATCAGGATTTTCAACACTGCCACCCAAATAAACAGTCACCGGTAAATTCTATTGTAATTATTCCCCAGGTTGTATCAAATAAAACAAGTGTTATCCATTAGCACTCCAAAAACAAGCAAAACCTACTCTCAAAGGACTGTTATTGGCAAGGACATTCATGTAATTTGACAGATTTCCAGTGAGCAAATGCATCGCTACAGGTTGTGGGAACAGTCCCATGGAATGAAGTGCTCTTGGCTGTTCCACTTGACCGTCTCAATGAAACGGTGTGTTCCTAATGGAATGCTTGAGCATTTGGCTGTTGCAACATGCTGTTCCAATGAGAATGTTCCAAGCGTTCTGAATTTTGAGACGTTTCAGAAGTGCATTTTCCATGACGGGGTAGACATCGATATGTACATGTACCATTTTCTGTTTTGTTTTAATTTTGTTTGTTTTTTCAATCAGATTTGAATGTTAAGTTTTGATGTCATCATCCGTGAAAAGTAGTATTGCAGTTGCCTTGATCCACTGGCACCAATTCCTCTTGGCAATGGTGGAGTTTAGGAACATCAAAGGGAACAGATCCTCCTGTTTGTTGACCAGATATGCAATAGACAATGACTTCTCTGTGTTTCTTCCCAATATGGGGATACTTAAAATGATCTTCTATGCTGCAACAAAATTAGTACATGTATGAAGGCACCTTTCCACATATGTTTTGAGTGTTTGTTGCGTTTCACTTTTATGGACATAAAAATCGACTCCATTAACATCATACACTGTGGGTTGCGTTTGGCTGTCAAAGGAGCAATTTTGATGGATATGCAATGCTTGGCACAAGTGTTGCCATGCACATGGAAAGGTGCCTTGACTGTTGTAAGGTTAACAATTCTGCCCCTCCAAAGTACAACTATGGGAATATACATTAATCACAACGTATTCACCTTCATGAAAAAAAAAATTTTTTGTTGGTAAGTGGAAGTTACTAAGAACCATTTCATGTACATGTAGTATTGACAAGCTTATAATTTATAGCCCATCAACAGTGTAATTTATTGGAAATGAAATACATCATAAATAAAATTGTCATTTTAAACACATGAAAGACAGAAATGTGACAGTTGTGTCACACGGAATATTTTTTGTTGGAAGAGACTTAGTGTTGTAGTCGAGACCATCACAAGACCATGCACAAGACCAGTCACAAGTAGCAGTGAATAACAAAGGAATGGATTTGTTGCAGTTCATTTGAATAGCTTGTGACTTGAATTCAGACTAGAGGTCTTGTGTTGGTCTTGTGAAGGTCTTAAATGATCTCAATTACAACTCTGAAGAGACTCTATTTCAGTTCTTGAAATCCAGAATTTGTTATTGTAAATAATGTATGTTGTGCTACTGCTGCTGGAAATAAAACAATGATAGTTCCAGAAAATGTTTTGCCCAAATGTTATCACTTTGTAGACATGTACGGTACATTTTAACGTGATGAGATTCCTGTTCATATGGATTACTCTTATTTGTGCACTGCAAAGCAGTTAAAAACATTTTTCTTGATGTATATTCGAACCTCGTTAACAAGAGGTCCTTTGGACTTGGCAATTTACCTTGTTATAACAGCAACCTTGTATTATCTGGAAGAAAAACAAAGAATTGGGGCCTAAAAATGTCCTTGTCATGAGCAGGATCTGGTATAAACAGTGCTCCTATTAATGAGGTTTGACTGTATTGCATTTCCTGACATTGTGGATGATACTTCAGATCTATTGTGCATGGCTACGTGTGCTGCATAGGTAGACAAGGTCATATCTCAACCACTGCAAGTCAGGAAAATTGGTTTGTGTGTCTTGCATAATTTCCATTTGCTTGACTCAGTTAGCAGTGTCACCAGGAATAACTCAACCTTTGACACTTCACCAGGAACAACTCAACCTTTGACACTTCACCAGGAACAACTCAACCTATGACACTTCACCAGGAACAACTCAACCTATGACACTTCACCAGGAACAACTCAACCTATGACACTTCACCAGGAACAACTCAACCTATGACACTTCACCAGGAACAACTCAACCTATGACACTTCACCAGGAATAACTCAACCTTTGACACTTTCATTGCCTCAGTACTTGCAAGGTTTGTGCTGATGCCTTCCACTTTGTTGTTCTCTGATAGAAATTAAACAATCAGCGAGCAAGGTGAGAGACATGTTAGATAAGAAATAGTACATGTAACTTACTTTCGCCTTCAATCTGTCAGGTTTGTGATCCATGGAGCCAAGGGCAGATGGGGACAAAACTTTTCAAGTGGGTGGAAAAGATTTGGGGAATTTCTACAACCGTTTATGCCCCTCCCCATTTACCAGTACATAGAGCATGCTGTTATTCTACCTGTACAAATTATGCCCAAATGATTACTTCTGGAGGCTAGTTTTCATCATCATTACATCATGAACAGATACATGTAGATGAGCCTTCTGGGCTGCTGGTTAGAGCATCCATCCTGTTTGCAAACTCATCAGTGGCTGCAAGAGCAACTCGTAGAAGAGCATCTACCATGGTAATCTCTGGTCTACTTTGGTTCTAATGTCAATCCTTGCACTGCCTCCGTGGAGCACTTTGCAAGCAACCAGCTCAGTTGATAGTGCCCTACAAAAGCTATCCTACCATTTTGCTACCCGAGGTAGAACGCTGTACAATTCCTGTTTAAATATACAAATTTCCCAGCCAAAGTTAATGCCAGTTTTAATGAGTTAATATAGTGGGTAGTTTTTATTCGATGGATAATATTGCAGTTTCGCAAATCTGGAGTTTTCATACTAATAGATTTTGTTGCAAGCAACAAACATACAAGTCCATATACAGTGTTCTAATCACATCCACTGTGCAAAATTCAAAGATGAATTCAATAAAGAGACTGAAACTTGGACAGATACAGGTGCTATTTTCATTGCGTGGTATTCCTCATGCATGTAGATTGCGCTGTTCAATGTCTAGACCCTCCCAAAGTTTGTTGTTCTTTTTGTCTCACTTTTCCAAGCATCTGAAGAGAATAGTGTGGAGGAGAGACTACAGAAATGCACTTTGTGAGACGTTTATTGAATAGTTGCATTACAATAATTTTTGTTATGGGTTATTCTTTTGTGTAAGTCCATCTTTTCACTCATATTTCTGAAAGAACAAATCAGTGGATATATAATTATACCAAGAAGTCAAATGAACCGTTTAAAGTAATCCTACACAAATGTCAATGATAGTGAGCATAAATCCATGTATCAGATCCAGAAGAGAATAGAAGTGAACACACATGGTACACTGGGAAAGTCTGAGCTTTTTAAAGCTCAACTGTGTAACCACGGTAAATGATGCAGTCAGTGTATATGCACTACATCCTGTGATGTGACATATCATCATGGAATAACGGAAACAACTGGCATTAAAACAGGTTGTGCAACATATCGGATTCTGTTTTTTAAACCTACAAAGCCACAGCTGGATACCCATAGTTTATAAAATGAGCCTGAACATAAAGTCTCATAACAGTAGTTGATGATTAATAAAACTGTTTTGTTCATTACTGCCAAATATACAAAATTTAGCATGAAACCTTTTATGTGTGAACGAACATCTTGTAAATATTTGTATGTCACAAGCACCATACACTCTAAGGCACCAGAGCCGATCCCCAAGTTATAGTTTTCTTTGGCAAAAGAACATCAGATTTAGTGTTCTTGGCAACAGATTGATGCTGAAGGTTCTAGAACTCTTTTGCAGCAGAACTGGTACTGTAGATTTTAGTGTTCTTCATTCTTCAGCAACAGAATTGATGCTGGGGGATTTAGAGTCCTAAAGCAGCATGCTCAAGGCTCTAGTGTTCCTTAGCAGCAGAGCATATACTCTAGCTTCTTTGGCAGCAAAATCGATGTTGTGGAATTGACTGTCAATTTTCATCCATGTCCAGCCTTCTCTCTCTGATCTTGCTCTTTCAACTCCTCCTCATAATCATCAATGACAGTCCGTATTCTCTGTGTCAGGAGGTCCAGGCCAAAACCCTCCTTGGCAGAGACAGGGATGACATCCTCAAAGTTCATGACAGATTCTGCCATTAGCTCTTCAGAAATACTGGCAAAATCCCCTGCATAACATGAGAGAAAAGCAAGGGGGCATTTGATTTCTCAACAGAATAAAATACAAACAAATCAAAATACAAAACCAAAACACGAAACCAGACATAACACAAAAAGCAGCGGCAAGCTGCCCATCAAAGGAGTGACCTAGGTTATATAGTGGGATTCTGGACAGGTTAACAATTTAATGCTTACAGAAGCTTCCTTTCATGCTGAACTGTCTGTTTGTCCCTATCTGCTGGGGTCAAAGTTTCTGGCCCTCATCGCTTAGGGGCATTAGTGTGTCATAAGAGTCTATTTAATATGCTCTGGGACCTTTTGAATTTTAATATACAGGATGACAAATAAGGTTTCCTTTTTCCACCGGTATGCACACATTACATGATCACTGATGATACCGTACGCTGCACGTTAACAGACTCTCATCTGATAACATTAAATCTTTACAGCTATAATGCAAATGCTGGGTTTTTTATTTTGTTTTGATATGCCACAACAAAGCAAAGCAAGATACACTGGGGAGCATAAATTCCACTTCAAATATATATGTTCCAATGGGTATAAATTCCATACAGAATAATAAAATCACAATTTAAACTTTGGGTTAAAAGAAATAGAATGGATAGAAGATAAATCCTTAATGTTCAGAGCATTTAGAATGTACTAGGGAAACAAGTCTTTTAATGAGGAATTGTCATACTTCGCACTGAGAATGTACAGGTATATCAATGTGATTGTAAGCACACCAAGCCTGGAAACTTTGGCTAACATACAGTCATTTGCAAAAGTTTAAGACCACTTTGAATTTTATTGGTATTTCTAAGCCTGCATTACACTGTCTCACTGAATGATTACTTAACAGGATTTTACAGTGGTATATACCCATTTGAAAAACTTTTTGGCAAAGGCAGGTCTTGTGTGACATTTTGTCTGCAAGGCAGCATGGGTAAAAAAAAAGCCAGTCTAAGCAATCAGAAATAAGGGAAGGCACACTGAATATTAGACTGTTAACATGTCAAATCATGGAAATGTAGTCAAAAATGTTCAACCAATGTACTAAGGTTACACGTTAAAAATAAACATAAATTGCCATGATTGATTGGTTTAAGTTTGGTTTTCCTTCAGGTTAATGCATTTTCTGTGGGTGATCCTAAACTTTTGCAAATGACTGTATACTAGATATAGTCAAATCCAGTAGTGTTTAACCCCTTGATGCCAAGATTTTTTTCTGAAACCGTCTCCAAGAATTCCAGCCTCGCTTGGCCACAAAGGCCACCTGCCAAACTGCAAATTCTCGGTTTGAGGCCCTGCGTGCTCTGCATGCTTTGATTAACACAGTGAAAAGGCTCATTGTTCGGTGGCATGCGGCTCTATTCACGCTTCCACATTCTTGTTGCCTCTTTTCAAAGTGGGGACTATTGTGTAGCTGGTGATTATGATGCAAATTCGGCCTTTTCATTCTTGGCAACACACAAAGGCAATCACCATATATACAAGAGCCACTGTATGTCTTCTTTCACCATGTTTGCTCGAGCATGGACCAAAAAAATTGGCTGAAAAGCGGGCTGAGGGATCTCAATTTTTACGGCAGCTCTTACTACTTCCGGTGCGAAGGGGTTAACAGGACACTCCCAATGGCCACCTTTATGGTGAAAAACACTGTGTTTGGTCTTATACAGAGAGACTGCTATGGAAAAGTGGCTCAGAATAATAATGATCACATGGCTTACTGCTACTGGTGGAGGCCACAGCAAATCGCTGGTGATAGTGCTCCCTGGGTCATTAGATTTGTCTATAGAATGGGGGGGAGGCAAGCGACAAAATTTTGGGGCCTGAGGTACAAAGTGTCTCGAGCCACTTACTCTCTTGAATTAACCGTCTTGCTTCTCTCATATAACCATCAGCACCCTCCACATCTATCTTGTTCAATGCCAGAATGGCAGGTTTACCAGTCAGCTCTTGTTTATACAGCTCAAGCTCCTGTGCAGAAAAGACAGAGAGAAAAAAAATCTGTTGACATTTCTTTTTACACTTGTCTAATATGAGCACGAAATCAACATGTTGCAAGTTGTTTTGCTTCAATTTCAACATCAGTAATCACACATGATACGTGTCACAATTTAGGTATGAAGACTCAGCCTGCTACTGATGAATGCATCTCTAAAGTCTCAAGTTGACAGTTAAATTAAAGTTGGTTCAAGAGTAAGCATTGTTTTTCTTGAATTAGGGGAAGAAGATATAACCTTTTGCAAAAGCTTGTGAATGAAATTGGCTAAAATTTGGTTAATTGTTTTACTTCTGTGTCTGCAGCCAATTAAATCCTGTTATCAGTTATTACAGAGCACAGTCCATCTCCAACTTTATCAGCATTCTGGCTATCAACCTTCCTGAATCTGGTAACCAGGGACGCATTCTTTGAACTAGAAATGTTCAAGTGGCATTAAGCTCCATGTACTGTACAAGCCTGTTGGTTAGGCTCTACCTTCCTCAATCCCGGAGGTTTTGAGGGCCAATAGCACTGAAGGGTCTGAGGTATACATTTGTGTGGTACACATTCCAGAGTGTGGTAGCCTGCCTCATGAATGTTTCTGCATTAGGATTTTGGCCAAGTCTCGGGCAAAAAATCAAGTTAAAAATGATAACACACTGAAATTTGTGCATTTTGTTCAATAAGCATGTCCATTTCCTTTCATATTTGGGTAATTCCAGAAATTTGGGGGCCCTTTTTTTTTTTGGTGTTCCTGTCATATCTGACATATGATTTTGTAAGTTCAGAACACATTTTCTAATTTCTAAGAGTGATGAAATAATGCAAATTACCTGCCAAACAAATAGTAATAGTTTGAGATCAATCTCAGTGATATTTCCATGTCAAATAACAAAGGTCAGATGCAACAGTGACCCAAAATGTCACACCTTTGGACCCCTAATTTCTGGAATTACCAGTTTCACCTTTTCGGCAGTTCTCACTATAAGTTGAATCATAAAACAAAATCATTTCTTGTATGTTTTTCTCATCACTTAAATATTGCAGGTTCCCATTGGTTGGTTGGCATATTACAGATGGGCCAGGAACCATTCCACGGCACTGGAGCCACACTAATACATGTTGGAAACAAGTTAGAAGAGTCATGCAAGCACTGTTGAAAACACTAAAACTAAAAAAATATTTAATGAAGATTTCTGCAAATTGAGACACAATGTCTGTCTGCATAAAATCCTTTCCTTGAAGTGGTAAAAAATGCAAGATTTTCATATCAAAGTCACCAGTGTTGCATGCACATACTTGGTGACAGGTTTATGATGATCTGGACTGTGCTGCATGTTGGCTGTTGGTCGTTCACAGATTTCTCAAAATATGGAGGGCCTGACGTTTCGATCCTAGCAGAATCTTTCTCAAAGGCAAAATGACAAGTGGACAGGACAAACAAGCAAACAGATGACCAACCAAGTATGGGTGAATGCAGGAGGACAAAAGGAAAGGTCAAGAAAGATGCAGGCTGGATAAAGGGGACTGCATGAAAGGCACTGTTGAACAACAAAGGATCGTAAAGTGGGAAGAGATTAAAGAAAAAATACAATGGAATGAACTGGACTCTAAGTGGGAAGGGGGGCATAATCTGCAAACAAAAGAGATAAAAAGAAAAAAGTGTTAATTAGTAGTTTCCCTCTTGGGTGTTCAGGCCATGGGGTTCTATGGTGCGCAGGCGTTTGATCCAAAGCTTCTCCCTGTTAGAGCAACCAGCATCTTTATGGTGCCCAAGTGATTCTATGCCCTGTAAGATCATGTCAGACATAGAATGGTTAGGAGGTTTGAAGTGGTGGCCTGCAGGGGTATCTAGTCATTTGGTGTTCACCATGGATCTATGGCCATAGAAACGCTTCTTGAGAGTGTTCTTAGTCTCTCCAACATACTGAACACTGCACACCCTGCAAGAGATAAGATCTATGACATTAGAAGAGCTACAAGTGATAGTGCCTTTGGTTCTGTGGGTGGTACCGGAGGAGTGTCCAAAGAATGTATCTGATTCCAGGATATGGTTGTGGCAAACAACACATCTGTTAGAATCACACTTGAACGTGCCATGCTGGGAGGTAGGAAGGGTATCCAAAGGGGGCACTTCTGCCCGAATGATAAGGTCCCAGGTTGCAGGGACACCTGTAGGCCACAAGTGGGGTGTCTGGGATGGCACTGGCTAGGCGGTCTGAAGTGTGGAGGATATGGTGATTGTCGGTGATTATTTGCGGAGGGGAGGAAGACAAGGATGGAAAGTGGTGACCAAGGGAACCATGGGGGTTGTTTCGTCATGGGGGGGTCTTCTCCTTGAGTGCAAGACTTCTAGGGACGGAGTGGGCCCTATTGATAGAGTGTTGAACCTCGTGATTTCCTTAACTTATGAGTCAATATCATCAGTCATAATGTTTGGTACAAATGTATAGAAAACATAAGAGCCAAGGGGAATGTGCGGTATACCTGATTGTTTGGTATAGCAGTGTTTGGTATAGCAATGTTTGGTATAGCAATGTTTGGTATAGTAGTATTGCACTGTAGTGTAGACTGCATGGGTTGCAATAATCTAGAAGTCATATTATATCATGAAGCACTTTAATTGCTCAATGCTAATGTATATGTCAAGTACAAGAAAACTATCAGGGTTATTTTCCCATGAGAGACCAGTATGCATTCAGGTACATGGTAATTAGAAATAAGGTTATAAAAGGCCTTTAAAAAATGTGGTATTAAGTGGCAAAGTCCATTTTGGGGGTCGCCTTATTGGACGTAGTCTGGTTCCCTGCACAAAGATTCCTGGACGACCCTTGATAACGATTCGTCGGGTAGTCAGAATCATGGAGTCTGGTATCCAGACTATATGGAACGAACTTAACCAATGCCCGTGTGTGGATGAGTATATGTTTTCTGTATGGTAACTGTACAGAAAACATTCCTCCATGATCACGAACATGTACATCCATACTGCACTGTCGAGTCGTGATGTGATATGCAAGTGGCTTGCTGTCTTTGCTTCATCCTTAGGGGCACATGATCAATTATTGAATTGGTAGGATAATAATCGAGAACAAATTTGCTGGGATCGACCATGGAGGTAGAAATAAGCCACGGTAAATCAAAGCCATTGAATTAGTGCAAGGAATCATAATGTACATAGGCAATACATGTGTACGTGTAAGTCGGCAAAATGATGCCTTCAGCACAAGTCGGCGTTCGCGTAAGTCGTCATAATTTCTTGAGTTCCGAAAGTGCCGACTTAGCCAGAGTTTACCGTATCTTTAAGAATAAACTTCTGTATTTTCTCAAGTATTGCTCAATTTATCTTTACCTTCCTGTGGCAACAATCACAAACAGTGAAGACATATGTAAGCAAAAAATATCGGCAAAATTTTACAGTTGGAAATTTGACACTGAAATCTGACACAAATGCTAGAGACAAAACCAAATGTTAGAATGATGTAAAATAATAAACAGTGCCATTCCATGATAGTGACTGAATACCTGATTGAGAAGCATGACAGTTTCAAAGGCACTTCGGAATGGATGTCTGTCAGATAGTTGGAAGCCATGAACATCTACCATAAAAAGCAACAATTTGGTCCTTTCTACGTGCTGCAGGAATCGGTGGCCCATGCCATAGTTCATGTGAGCGCCCTCTATCAATCCAGGTAGGTCAGCCAAACTAATCTGGTTATAACAAGCAAACAAAAAAAATCTTTTGATGATTACCAGTACGACTCTTTCCGCTGGCTAATTTGACAAGCCAACCCTTAGAGGGACTGAAAAGAAAAAGTGAAGTTCTGTACACATTCTGACAAAAATTTGAAAGTAACATTCCTATAAAATACACAGGTCAAGTCTGACTGGGCAAAAACTGTACTGGCATATGAAGTATGAATGTCTTTAGGTGTTCCCAAGTTTCAAAGAAATTTATCTCAGTATGCAGCCGAGTTAAAGGACAAAACACTTGTCAAAAGAGCTCAAAAGAGCTCTAAATTCACTATTAAGGTTATGGTTCCTGCATGGCTGTTATGTTTAAATTACAAAATGCACAAACTAGATGTGGGTCTACTGTATATTTGCAAAAACTCAAAGGAAGACACAGAAATAAACTACCCCAGTGACCCCAACATTCAAACCGAGTCTCATGCTAACATTTTTCTTTTGAAAGTTCAGAAACTTGATTTAAGTCACTCCACAAGGCCAGAGTAACGTACATCAAGGAACCTTTTCAAACCAAAAAAGTTCAATTGTTGGGCAATGGGAAAGAAAGTAAGTACTTACTTGTCTCTGATCAGGATATTCAATTACTCCAACTTGAGGTCTGATGGTTGTGACTGAAATGTAAAACAAAATTTCACATTGCAAAATGGCATTGCAGTTTTAATGCAGGTTTGCAATCCAACCTGGTCCCACTCAACAAATAAGCTCACATCCAAATGTATCTTGGACTCTAGACTTCAGAAAGCATTTTCTTAACAGTCTTTGCAAAGTCTTGCACATTAGCATACATGAATATTCCAGGCTCTTAAAGGAAATATGAATTGGGAATTCAGCTCAACTCATTTTCATACAAATTACTATGCACTACAATACAACCAAGATTTAAATACTTCTTTTCATGTGCAGAAAAGTTATGTTATGGGTAT